CTCTCATAATTACAAAAAAAATGAACAAAATGAAAAATTATGATTGGTTGAATGCGGTTTGCACGGTTTGTACAAATTGAGTGGTTTGCATTTGATCGCTCCTATATATATATATATATATATATATATATATATATATATATATATAATCTACGCAAAAGCAACCAATGGAAATCTAAGCAAATTTCAATCAACCTGAATTCAACTGGTTTATGTGAGATCTTTCTAGAATTATCAATAACCAAACTCGTGATTCTTGCATAACAAACCATTGATCAAGGGGATGATCCCCATGACGAAGAAAGACGGTAGGGATGGAGCCATAGTTCTCAACGCGTTCTAGATGCACTTGTTTTGAGCAAAAATTGAAGATAAAAAAAGTGATACTTTTTTTAACCTAAATATCCAACCCGTTATGTGACTCGACTAATCTCAAGACGATCACCTGCTTTGCAGATAGCCCGGAGTTATCGCATTTGAACATCTTCCGGTCTCTAAACAAAACGACTAGGTTGAGGACTAATACGTCAACGGAGGCCAGCTATAGCAACCCCATCGGAATTAAAAAAAAACGAGAACTCAAAAGATATACGTCTTTCTGAAGACACTTTTCTCATTTTATTTGTTTTCTAAATAAAGTTTTTCTTAAGGATCATGTCCCCTTTTTTCAAGAAAAAAAAAAAACCAAAGACATTAAAAATCATCAATATAGAAATTAGAAGTATACTATTTGGCTTCCTAAGAAATTAAAAGTTCAAACCTCATCAAATACGAGGAGGATATGTAAGTTTATTTGTTTTATTTACCGTATATAAATATTATATAATTCACAAAAAAGAAAATATGTGTTTGTGGATAGTAACCCAATATTTTCACAAATAGCCCCACAACTTTTAGTTTGTTCACCAGTAACCCATAAAATAAACATGTTACCCGTTTTTCTATTCGACCATGTGATACCTCAATAAACAAGTTACCCATTCTTTATTTACTCTCTATATATAGTTCCCACTCACAGTTAACTAAGCAGACATGGGGAAAGAAGATGAGCTCGTTAATGGCAGTGGAGTCGCCGGAAAACAAGATAGATCGCCGGCGTTAGATTTCAAGCCAGTTAATTACAATAATTTTAACCGAACCAATCCCATGTCTGACTTGTTCTCCGTCCGAAGGTTCCACCACGTCGAGTTCTGGTGCTCCGACGCCACCAACACCTCCCGCAGGTTCTCATGGGCTCTCGGCATGCCCATTGTCGCCAAATCCGATATATCCACCGGAAACACAACCCATGCATCTTACCTCCTCCGTTCCAGTCAACTCCTCTTTCTCATCACCGCCCCTTACTCCGCCACCATCTCCACCGTCGACACCAATACAGCCTCCATACCAACCTTCTCCCATGCTGCTTGCCGCGCCTTCATCGCCGCCCACGGACTCGCCGTCCGCTCAGTCGCCATTGAGGTCGACGACGCCGAGCTTGCCTACTCCATCAGTGTCTACAATGGCGCCAAATCCTCCTCACCTCCGATCACCTTGGGTGAACAGGAAAATGCCGGCGTACTTGCCGAGGTCCAAGTTTACAACGATGCCGTTTTACGATACATTAGTTTCACAAAACCTACCATCGACATCACATCCACTTTCTTACCTGGATTCGAACCAATCGAATCGAGTTCGTCGTTTCCCGGCCAAGACTACGGCCTCCGCCGCCTTGACCACGCCTTCGGCAACGTCCCAGAACTGGCTTCCGCCGTCAACTACATCAAATCATTCACCGGATTCCACAAATTCGCCGAATTCAGGGCCGAAGACGTCGGGACAATCGAGAGCGGGTTGAATTCGATGGCCCTCGCCTGCAATAACGAGACGGTTATCCTCGGATTCTGTGAGCCGATATACGGCACACGGCGGAGGAGTCAGATACAGACGTACCTTGAGCACAACGAAGGGCCTGGATTTCAGCATTTGGCACTGGAGAGTGAAGATATATTTTGGACTTTGAGAGAGATGAAGCAACGGAGCGGGTTCGGTGGGTTAGAGTTCATGCCGCCACCGCCGCCGACTTACTACCGGAATTTGAAGAAGAGGATCGGAGATGCTCTGAGTGATGATCAGATGAAGGCGTGTGAGGAGTTGGGGATTTTGGTGGATAGAACTGATGAGGACACCTTGCTTCAAATTTTCACCAAGCCCTTGGGCGACCGGTAAATACGTACATATACATACATAATATATGTATATATCAGTTTTAAGTACTAGTTTCTGAGACGAGAAGAATGAGAGTTAAAGTGAGAATCGTAAAAAAGATCTTTAAATGCACGTTAAGATGAGATGTACCGAGCTGATAAGATATACTAGATCAATCCCCATATCAAATACGATTCATGTGTGGGTTTGATTAAAGCTGATAAAAAACATACATCTTTCTTGTACTTCTCACTTTAATTCTTGTTCTTATATGATCATTTGACGGTAAATATTTTGAAAATATATAAAGTAATAATTTGCATGTTGATTGTGTGGGTGATGGCAGGCCAACCATATTTATAGAGATAATTCAGAGGAAAGGGTGCATGATCGAGAACAATAAGCAAAAGCCAGGATGTGGAGGATTCGGTGAAGGAAACATTTCAGAGCTCTTCAAATGCGTCGAGGAATATGAGAAGACATTCAAAGAATGATCATCCTTTGTGAAACCCTACTTTAAATTTAACGCAAATTGCATGAAAAAACAACATACTTTAACTTGATGTCTATTTTGATAAATGTACTTTTAAAACTTTCATTTTGGTATCTAAGATGTAAAGTTTTAAATATTTAAGTACTCGGGTAACAAGGTTGAAGTATTAACCGGTTATCATGTTGATGTGGCGAGTGATGTGGTATTCAACTCAGTATTATTTGCTATTCAACCCAATTTCATCTCATCACTCACCACATCAGCATGGTAACCGGTTAATACTTCAACTGAGGTAGTTAAATGGTTTAAAACTTTACATCTTAGGTATTAAAATGAAAGTCTTGAAAGTACGTTACCTAAAATATGAATCAAGTTAAAGTATGTTGTTTTTTCATGCAATTTGTCTTAAATCAAAATAAGTTTATCTATTTATGTATGGAATGCTTTTCTTTTAATAATGTAAACTAGAAATCATGATTTGATCATAAATATTATTCAAGGATATCATTAATAATCGATATCTTTCGTATTTACTTCGAAGTTGTAAACGAAAAAATATGTATGAATGATTAATGGGATGTCGTGTGTTTTCTACGAGTTTAGCATGAATTTTGATGTTAGAAATTGATACTCGATTGAGAGTTTGAGACAGTGACTAACTTTTTGATCTCTAGACTAAGGGGTAGTTTTGTTGGTTTTTTTATTTAGTTTGTCTGGATAAAATTGTCTGTACAGGTTAATCTGTCTGCATAGATTGAAAATGCTTTTATTTTAGAGAGAGTATTCATAGGTGAAAGGAGTATGTTTTTTAATTGGAGAGGTGTCGATTTGAAAAAAAAAGACCTTGACTTTATGCATAATGTTCCTCAATAGAAGCTTACTAAATAAGTTATTTTCTATATTATCAAGTCACTACCAAACAGTCATGTATAATTGACCGAATACGCTACGAGTCTCATTAAACTATTAATAAACATGTCCTTGGTCTTTATTTATAAATCATCATCTTTCATCCAAAAATACCAAAAACTATTGAATTCTGTTGTTTAATCTCCAATCTCTTTGGTCATAGATAAATTAACTGAAAGAGCTCCATTGAATCAAACAAATGTTTTCAGTAATGGTGTTAAACCTGTAGAATAATACAAGGAATTTTGTGTGGTATTTAGGCAAGTTTTATGTTGGCATGAGGGTGACTTGTAGAACAAATAGAACAAGCTGTGAGATGCAGTTAGAATTACGTTCACACGAGACATGCACTTATGGTTCAATGATTGCGGGTTAATACTTGATGTACAAAATTGGTGTTTTTTATAACTCTGTTACCATTTTTAACAAGCGGCTGACATTTGGTGTGGTTAACATCCAGTTGAATAACCTGTGAAGCTTGTTGATTTTTACTTATAGATAGGTGGTTACTTATAGCCTTGTCATTATTATGTTAACTAATGTGGGAATCGTGCGTTGCACAGTAACATGAGTACTTTAGTTAATGATCCGAAAATTGTCTATATAAATATATGTTAGTTGTTAATAGAATCATCAACAAATAATATTCATATAATTCGAAAAAGTTAATAAAATATAATTAGTGAAATTTTAATACACACACACACACACACACACACATATATATATATATATGTAGATATTTGTTTAGGAATAAAGATGTAAAATTAAATAAAATGAGTAAAAATAACGACGGGGGTGTAGATAGTTTATGCATTGTTTGTATGAGTTTTTTTTTTCTTAAAGGGAATGATACCTCTGTTGATTTTTATTAAAGAATAAAAAAATGTACGTCTAAATCGCACGGTAACTAAACATATGTAAAAATAATATGGTAAATAGAAACTTAGTCTATAAGTAATATGAAAAGATATTAACTGATCATTAATACATATAAAATAATATAGAGAATAATTAATTGTTATACGACAAATGATGTCTACAAATAACAAAACAAATATTCCCTCCATCCCAAAATAAGTATTCTCGTTTCTACTTTAGTTTGTCCCAAAATAAGTGTTTACTTTAAAAAAGTAATCTCTACTTTCAAACTAATTGTTCAAATATATGACACCTTGATTTATACTACCAAATGAAGCATTTAGTAAATTGAGAGATAAATGTTTGGATCAATTGTGACAAAGATCGAGAATTCATGACCATGGATTTATTGATGGTTGCCAAGTTAGGGAAAGGGGAAAGGGGAAAGAAACCCAATGTTGCGGGAGGGGCAGGAAAAAAGGGGTAAAACTAAACTCACTACGATCAATCATTGAGAAAGTAGTTGATGTCAAAAGTATAAACTGACAATGACAATGCATCAAACACGGGAAATAATTTGTTTGGATATTTATTAATATATATATAGAACATTCAAGAGATAACTGATTAGTTTGTGGTAATTGTGAGATCCAATCTCAACCACAAATCAATGGATAAATTAAGAAATTAATAATTATGGTAGTTTAAGTTAAAATTATAATTAGAAGACATTTTAGGTATTTTAAAAAAAACTCCTCTCTTTTCTCTCCTCTCTCATCTCTCATCTCTCCGGCCTCCGGTGAACAAAAATCCGGCAGGTACCAAGTAATCACAAATATACACATTGTGATATCCATTGCGATATATAGTGGTACTCAAATGGTATCACAATATATCACAATGGGTATCACATTGTATATCTTTGTGATTACTTGGTACCTGCCGGATTTTTGTTCACCGGAGGCCGGAGATTGGAGGTCGAAGAGATGAGAGAGGAGAGAGAATTTTTTTAAAAATACTCTAATTATAATTTTAACTCAAATTATCATAATTATTAATTTTATAATTTATTCGTTGATTTGTAGTTAAGATTGGATCTCACGGTTACCACAAATTAATCAGTTCCCTTTTGGATGAGCTATATATATATATATATATATATATATTGAAGGAGTGATCTGTCCTATTTGTTGTTTGCATTATGTATATGAATGAAAAGTGAATAGATGGAACAAAAAACAGCAAGTGAATAATGGTGGACCACTATGTTTATGTTTTTTGGAATATTCTTCTACTTGTTTCAAAATTAGAAATTTATTTGTCTTTTTCTCAAGAAAATATATTATAAAATCCATGTTCATATTCATATACTATAAGTAAAAACATCCACATGATGCTTCTTTTTAGAAACTATATATATATATATTATATTAAGCGAATGATAGTATGAGAAGAAAAGTTATGTTGAGAAGTATAAGGAGATATTTTTTATTACTTTTAATCTCATGATCACCATTAAACTATGTTTTAGAAAGTAATTGATCGTTGCAGTTCATTAGTATTGACATTCAATTAGGAATTTATGATTGATTGAAATGTGGAAATCTCTTCTTACGGTTCTCAGCATAACTTTCTTTCTCACCGAAACTAAACTCTATTATATAAATAGAGAACATTTATCTTTATAATTGCCAACCCTTTCATTTTTCTACTTTTTTTAACTTCATTTTCATTATTCTATAAACGAAGTTGGAATCCATAAATATATAAAACTATATATAATTTTATTTACATCAATGCATGCATATTTTTAATTACATGACAATTGAAAAAATAAATCATCAAAATCAATCTATATATATATATATAT